TAATTCTTACGCTCTACCGAAAATTATCGAAATATAATGGGTGTGACAGAACTTTTGCAACTCGGTATAATTATAATACTTATTGTTGTTAAGTCTTTCATATCTCTCTACCTTCTTTTCTTTGTATGTAACTTTCTTAGATCCTCTCCCATCTTTGGATTTTTATTATAGTAGGCTATATACTTGTGTTGTAACTGCCGTATAACTGCCGTATTCTTTCTATCCTGTCAAAGGCATACATGTATTATTTTTATTATCGTTTATAAGTGTCTTCCTTCTTTCCTTTATGTGTTATTTACTCCCTTCGAACATTTCTAATCTGTGATGTTATGGCCTTGTCTTGCAAGTGCCATAAAACTCGAAATAATTCAGCGTTCAGTTTTCGTGTTTTCGGATGGGGGTCGTTCGAATATGGTCGTGGGGTTTGATTATTCTTTCTTTCCCATCAAACGCATTTTTTGTCGTCCATAACTCTCTTCCTTCTACCCCCCCCCCCCCCCCAGGCAGTGCTACTGACTGGGGTGTCTTTAGGCCATTCCTAATCCTTACTATTGTCATTTTCCTCTACTTCTTTCGTATGTTTGTCACACTCTTGTGACCTGCTATTTCCGGGGTGCCTTGATAGTCGAAGCAGACTTTTTGCTGTTGAAGCTAGAGAGGTGAGCAGAGTAAGTCTGATTCCCTGTAAAGATTTCTCTGTTGACTCCCACCCCTTGGCGCTCATATGACCTTATGCAGTTGCGAGCGCCGTAAAACCCTCTGCTATAAAAAAAAAACCTCCAACTAATTCTTTGTTCGTGACCTTGTGGATGGTTGGCGAGCGATCGAATCTTGTGGTGTAGTTTATTCCTTCGTTCCTATCGAACACATATTATTATCGTCCATCTTCTTTTTTCTTCTCTATATGTTACTTCCTGGAGCATCTGTAACCGTTGGCTCTCATATCAAGGCCTTGTGTTGCAGTGGGTGGTTGGCGAGTGCTCTTGTGTGGCTTACTCCTTCTTTCCTGTTAAACATCTATCGTCCTGATCTGCACTCCTTCTTTTTATGTTTGTAGGCCATGTTTCCTTCCATGGGGTCAGTAAAACTGCAGGGAAGGCGTAACACCTAATCCTCGGTACTTGTATGACCTTATTGTGTTGCAAGTGCCATAAACTCTTACCAAAACACACATTCACACTCAAACACATTCACACACACACACACACGTACACACACACAAACACACACACGCACACACTCTCTCTCTCTCTCTGCGGGCGGTTGGCGGGTGCTCTGGTGTGGTTTGCTCCTTCTTTCCTATCAAATATCTATCGTCCTTATCTTCCCTTCTTCTTTTTTATGTTTGTTACTACTTGTAACGCCTCTAATCCCCTGGCGGTCATATGACTTTATGCAGTTGCGAACGCCGTAAAACCCTCTCTCTCTCTCTTGCCCTTTTTAACTCCCAGTGGAGCATAGGCCATCAACAACATTACTCCAGCGAAGCCTGTCCTGAACATCCTTTTCTGTTTCCATGATGTCCCCGCTTTTTCAATTTCCGCTTGTACCGCTCGCCTCCATGTCATCTTTGGTCTTCCCTTCTTACGCTTGTAAAACCCTCTACTTTAAAAAAATCTCTCTCTCTCTCTCTCTCTCTCTCTCTCTCTCTCTCTCTCTCTCTCTCT